CTCCACAAGAGAAGGCTGAGGGGGGACCTAGTGGCCTGTTACAAACTAGTCAGAGGGGACCAGCAGGCATTGGGGGAGTCCCTGTTCCCCCGAGCACTACCAGGAGTGACTAGAAATAACGGTCACAAGCTGGCAGAGGGTAGATTCAGACTAGATACCAGGAGGCGCTACTGCACGGTCAGGGCGGCTAGGATCTGGAACCAACTTCCAAGAGAAGTGGTGCTGGCTCCTACCCTGGGGGTCTTTAAGAGGAGGCTAGATGTACACCTTGCTGGGGTCGTTTGACCCCAGTACTCTTTCCTGCCATGGCAGGGGGTCGGACTCGATGATCTGCTCAGGTCCCTTCCGACCCTACTAACTATGAAACACATCACTTCCTAGCCCAGGGATAAAGTAGCATGCAGATCACCGAGAGCTCTATGCCAAGTCAAGATTTAAGTCTACGAGCTCCACCCATGCTACTTATCAAACAACACTGGACTCCAAATCACGTCCGAGACCACTTCTCCAACACCCCCGCCTAGATCATATCAACTCAGCGTAATCAATGCTGCAGGCCCGAGTGGCAGCGATGAACCACCTGGGGGTCATTCCTTCCCTTTCATCCAAGCATTTCAGCCCTGCCTTGATCCTAGTGCTGCTTCCTCCATAGCACTTGTAGCTTCCAACTGTCTTTTGCCTGGTCCTACAGCATTACGCCTACGTTGATTCTAATTCAGGGGTAAGTTTAAAGGGTAAGCTGACAACGTATAGGCTCTTATCAAGGATAAGACTTCTAGGTAGACGGTGCACTATGCTCTGCTGGATCACCACAGATGATCTGTGCGGGAACAAACTTAAGAACAAAAAAACCCCAAAACAGTCTACAAATGGAGCACTACATACCTCGTGCCTTCTCGTTCAGGCAGTTCAGGTCTTTTCCACCTCTTCTGTGTATCGAGTCAACTACCTCGTCGGCTCTGTAGGCATTCAGGACCAAAAGGACTGCTCTTCTCCCAGATCTTCTGCCCCCTGCAGAGGAAGATATTACCTGCTCATCACATGGTATCAAACCGATACAGTTCATGACCTGAAGGTTAATAACTTTTCTCAAAGCCATACAAAATATAAAAAGCAGCCACCTGAGATGCTTGAGTCCTCTGAACACTCCAGGGAAGCATTCAATTAAAAGAAAGAATTAGGACATGTCTTAGAGGTATTGGAAATCTCCACAAATTGCTCAATAATGGGTTACTTTGATGCAGGCCTACGCATTCCAGCACTAAACTGTTTTAGTTAGAAAAATGTACTAATCCCACATAGGAAAGGACAAGTCATTTAGTTACAGACCACAGGTTTCCATTTAGTGGGTTATGCCCCTGTGCACCAGACCTACTTCCAATTTTTAGCCAGAGCTAGAAAAGAAAAAGTCATCTAAAAAAAACTAACCAGCTGAAACGTTCATCTTCCCAACAAGACTTTGGAGTGCCTTTCAGAAAGAAAAATAACTCCACAGTGCTTCCAGCCCTCCTGCTCCAGAAGGCATCATGCATTTCTCTGTCCAAGTTGTTAAGTGCTGACGGCCCAAACTCTTGTGCCTACACGTGAAGCCCCAGCTACCCAATGGAGCACTCCATGGACTCAAATGGTGCAGCTCCCATTGCAGGATCAGGGTTCTGTTACTGCAGAGATGTGCACCTACACCGGCCCTTTCTGTGCACACCGGATAAGAAGAGGCAACCAAACTGCAGCTCTCCAGACTCTCTAGCAACGCTACTTGGTGCATAAAATCTCTGTCCTCTTCTGAGACAGTCAGAAGAAAAAAGCTGCCACACCGAACCAGAGGTCAGGCTCCTCGCTCCCTAGACCAACAAGAGACGATGGGCCTAATCCTGGGAGGCAGGTCAGGAAGATGAGCAAACCTGGCTGGGTGACAGGGCTCCTCTCAGAAGGCCATCAACCTGCTACAGAGGAAGCTGCTCCTAGCTTCACACAGCAGCTGGCGCATGCCCTCTTCAAAGACCTTCCCACAACATTGCACCTAAGCTGTCAAACAACATTTGGCTTCCTGAGCTCCCAAATCAGCCCTCTGCTTTCAGGAGGTGACTGGAGCACATTGCTTCGAGGCAATTATGTGTCAGAGCCATTAAAAAAAAAAAAAAAAGTTGCACCCAAGCAGCTTTTGAACCAGAACACGATATGACATGTTCCCCCCCTACGGTGCTAAGATAGTATCCCAGACACTACCACACAGAGACAAAGTGATGAGTATTACGCACAACATCCAACCCATGCCATAAGGCGGACTGCAGTTGGGAAGGCAAACTGGACATGGGGTCAGAATTATGCACTACCACAGAGACAAAACAAGAGCAGATTCAGATAACGGCCTCTGCCAGAACAAAGGGTGCCGAAAGGCTGATACGAGGACAGATTCAGAGGGGCAGGACAGGCTTTAAGATCATCCTCTAGTTGTCAATGTTTAAACAAGTACCTCGCTTTACTCTGGCCTGATGTCAAAGAATCACCATTCACTTCTCACGTAGACAGCTTGCCCAGTACGGCAGGGCCATTCACACCCCCCCACCACAGCAACCAACGCTGTCACAGGAAAATCCAGAGTGGAGCAGCCGGGCTTGCCATCGCTGGCCTCCTCTGATACGACAGAGGCAGGCTGCAAGGTAGAAGCAACAGGAATGCCAAGAAAGCACATCAGGTGGACCTGGGCCAAGAGAGAGTAACAGCACAGCCCTGAGCTTCGCCACCTCTGAACTCTCTACTGCCTGGTGGAGCAGTGAGCTGTTATAAGGTTTCCAAGCAGGAAATGGCACCAAATTTGTCTGGCCACGACTTGGAGAGAGCGTCACTTCTTCCAGAAGAAGTGCCCACAGGGGTCACACATGAAGACAGGGAGAAAGAAAAAAGGCTCCACACTGGACTCAGTAGGAAACCCTCGCCACAGTACCCCACACCCTTCCCACTGCCACTCAAGGTTTTGCTTGTCCTTTCACCTGTTCTGTTCAACTCCCAGGGGCCAAGAGGAGCTCAAACACCTGCTTATACAATCAAGGGAGGTATGTGACTGGACAGGAATGCCCTGCCCACACTACCAGAGTTGCAAGAGTGGGTTTGGGATCATCCAGGAGAGAGACAGCACCTTTTGAAGCATATTCTACAACAAGAAATACTAAAAAAATCCATTTCTGGGGAACCAACACCAATCCCTAAACCACCAGTTTCTCACCGTTTCCTTGTACGAGACAGCCACATCGCTACCGGCTTATTGCAGTCCAGCACCGATGGACCCCAGATCTAAAACAGCCATGAAATGCCACTGCCCCCAACAGATTTTATCTATGCTGAAGCGGAGAACTAAGTTAATCCAGAAAGCCAAGAGCACTTGTTCGTTTGAAGCAGCAGGCTGCTACTGTCCCGCAAACTCTAGTACAGGGATCGGCAACGGTTTTGGGCAGAGTGCCCAAAACACCCGCAGCCTCGACTTGCAAAATGCTGGCCTGCCAGGGGTGGATGGTGGGGGCCTGATTCGTGCTGGAACAGCACAGCCCCTGCCCCTTCCCTGCTGTCCACCCCAAGGTGCGCGCGCCAAACAACGTGCCTTCACGTGCTATGCTCTGGCGCTGGGGGTTGCCTAGTATGCATTTAAAAAACACCATCTATAACACCCCATTTATTAAGCAATACATGGCACAGCCATAACCATGAGACAGAAATGTGACGTGCAAAGTACTTCAGGCACGACTAAAAATATGTATGCTGGACTCAAATGCACCGTATATCACATAGCCGGGGAAAAGTCTCATCAGCGTGGGATTTCAACACAGAAATGAGAGGAATTTTGTTTGGGAGAAGATGCCGGCTGCTCAATCTGCTGGCCTTTCGTGCCACCTCTCCCCACCCAAGACTCATGCTTTCCTCCTGCCCCACCCACCGGCAAGGCACAAAACCAACTTCAGCTGCTAGAAAGTAAAGCTCAGTCCAAATTTGTAGGCGGTCCTGAGGAGGAACATTTCCTACCGGGATGTTTCCCAAACTCTCCCTCCCTATATGAACGACACGAAGCAATAATTGTCACTTCTATGATTAACGTGGGGCACGTCAAAAGAAAAAAACCCCAACAACAAACGAACAAAGCAGCACAGTAACGCTGGTGGTGGGCTGGGGGTTGGGGAAAAAGACGGCAAGTCGCGTGAATTTCCCCAAAGGGACCAATCCATGCACCGAAGAAACGGGACATTTACTTTGTGATGCAAGAGGCTGACAGCTCAGAAACCCTGACAGGACTCGTTACCGCGCTGCAACCTCGCAAGGTGCAGGGTTGCATCATCTGGGCTGTTAGAGCCGAGACGGTCGAAGCCCTGAGGAGAAAGACAAGAGTGAGAGCAAGGGCCCCGTGTGAGGTGGGTGCTTGGGGCTCGGCAGCGGTTGTTTGGGACGAACACGATGCAGACCCGGGGGGGGGGGCAGGGGCTGAGGGGGGGGGGGG